GGCAGCACACGTCTGTGGGGCCTTTGTCAGTGTGTGTGTGTGTGTGTGTGTGTAGCACGCTGTGGGGAAGGTGTGTGACAGCACCCTGGGCTCCTCCAGACACGGTGCCGATGACACCCACGTTGGCTAAACCTAAGAATGACAGTTACTGCTGGGAGGTGGCGGTGGTTTCTGAGGATGGCTGGGAGAGAGCACGCATCTGGAGTCTGCTAGACCTGGCCTGCCTCCGCCACCCAGCCCTTCCCGGAGGACCCCTGGCTGGACCTCTCGGGCCCACTGAGGGGGCTGGGCACACACACACCCCAGTTCGGCCCAGGGGATTCCTGAGCAAGTGACTGCCTGGGGCCAAGCGTCAGAGCCTCATCCTCCCTGCCTCCGACCTCATGAAGGAGCCCCACAGCCTGGCTCCAGGATCTCGGTGGGGACTGTCCTCCCTTCTGGCCTTAGCGCTCCCCTGGTCTGAGACCTCGGAGGAGGGGAGGGGTCAGGGCTGCGGGGCAGCTCGCTGTGGGCAGCTGTGGAGACTCCGTTCGGAAGCTGAGCATGAACCAGCTCTTGGGGTGGGCGGTATCCACTGGCCCGGAGGCACGGGGCACTGTAGCACCCGCCCTAGGGAGGTAGCACCTCCTCTGAGACGGCCAGCTGCCATGGTCAGGGCAGGTGGGGTGGGTGTGCCCTCCACCTGGTTCTTCTCTGTCCCCAGCATGTCTCACTCTCCGGGTTAATGAACTGGTTTGTGCATTTTGGGGGTGAATCTGAGTTTAAACACAACTTGCCCCAGGGTGCTCTGTGGGGTTAGCTGGGTCCCCCATGCACCGGGATGGCACCTAGTGTGCGTGTGGGGCTCTCTCTCCTGGCTTTCTTTCCCTGCTTAACTGGAGCACTGGGTCCTAGTGGTGGTAGCAGGGCCCTTTCCTCTGTTCCTGTCCCATTCTCTTTCTGTCTGTGACTCCCCCCCCCGACACACACATCAAGATCAGTGGCTCCTGCTTCTGATGGAGACAAACCCACTCCCTTGGCCTTGTGTTCAAGACCCCATTTTCATGTTGTGCCCTCACTGTCTCTTGCCAAGTCTATACCTCTTAGTCTAATTCCCACCTCCTCCAGGAAGCCCTCCATGCTTGCTTCAGGCCACGGTGAGCTCTCACTTCTCTGATTCACTCCTGCCCTGGTCTTTCATGGCTCATGGGTAGGTAGGTCTGAGAGCAGCCTGGCCCTCCTTCCTCACCTGGGACCTTTCTCCTCCCCCTTCAGCCATCTTGAGAACTGCCTAGAGGTGTGACAAATGCCCATTGCTCCTGAGCTTCCCACTGCTCCTGAGCCACCCAGAGTCTGAGAGACCATCCTGGGAGTCAGAGGAGTGCACATAGCTCAGGTTTTAGTGGCCAAGAGGCAGGAGTTAGAATTCTGGCTTTGCTACTTTCTGGCTGTGTGCCCTGGAATAAATTACCTAGCCTCTCTGTGCCTTGGTTTGTACCTGTAAGTCCTCGGGGTTGTTGTAAATATGGATTAAACGTATTTGTATGAAACCCCCAGCCCTCGGTCAGCACTTTTTAAACAGCAGCCTCACCGGATAAAGACCCCTGTCACCCCGAAGGTGAGGAGGAGGCGGCCTGGAGAGGGGGGTGTGCCTGGACCGGAGCCCACTCCGGCCAGAGATGGGACTAGAACCCTGGACCAGAACAAGAGCTGCTGTCCTGTACACCTTCTGGGGCACAGCCTTGCCCCTACCCCTGTATGTGTGCACTGATGTGACCAGGGGATGCTTCTAGAAGCGTGGAACCACGAGGTGGCTGTGTAGTTGGCTGTGGCCTCCTATGGGGTGGGCGAGGCAGGGAGAGGCCTTCCTCCTGCCCCCTGGCCCAAGGCCCCTGCAGGTCCCCAAATCCTATGCAGAAAAGACATCTCTCTGAGCTGCCCTGGGCATTCACCTGTACCCCGAGGGCAGCCGGGGACCCTGGGGCCACACGTGTCGATGTCCTCAGGCTCTCTGGGACTCCTAGCCTGGGCCGGGGCTGGGCCCACCTTCCCTCCTCCTGCCTCTGTCTTCCTCCAGCTGTGCCCCTCCCTCCCCATCTCGCTCCTCCCTCCTCCCACCAACTCTCCATCACACTCTCCTCAGCCCCCATCATCTCTTCTCCCGGTCCCTTCTCCTCTCCCCAATTTCTTCCATCATTTTTAATGCTCACCTCTCCCCCTACCCCCTAGAAGGAGTATTTAATGGCTATTAAATTATTTTAAACTAACTTTCTTTAAAAAAAAAATAGCTTGGTGATGGTGCTGACTCAGGACCATCTCGCTGTTTAATATTGAATATGCAATTAATAGATAGATGTTTAGGGCTGGCTCTCTGCCCCCCCTGCTACTGCGGGAAGGATAAAAGAGCTGATTAATCTGGTTTGGGGCAAGTGTCAGCCGCAGGAGATATATAGGACAAAGGAGATGAGGTTAGCAACTTGGAGTCAGGGAGCTCTTGCCTCCCGGGCGAGTTAGGGAGAAAAGGTTGGAGTTGGAGCTGGGCGAGGCCTCGCTGGGCAGAGGGCATGCGGCACCCACTCTGGTCTGCAGAAAGCTGGCTGGACTCAGGGCACCTCCTGTCCCCTCAGGGGCCTGGCTCAGTGGGGTCTCATTCATGCCACCCCTACGTCTTCTCCAGGTGTGGAATCTGCCTCCTTCAAGGCTGGAAGTGCCACCTCCTCAAGTGCCACCTTCTCTGAGGCCTCTGGGACTGCTGGTGGCACCTACCCTGAGTTACCTGCCCGTTCGGGACAGTTTCCTCTGCTGCGGCCCCTTGGCTGTGCTACCTGAAAAGGGAGCTGCAGGTGAGTCACGGCATGCCTGGGTGACCTGGGTCCTGGTCCCTGGGCCCGCCTCCTGGAGACAGTCTCCTGGAGAGACCCCTTGCTCTGTGTGGGGCTCGTGAGCTCCGGAGAGGCCAAATGAGGACAGCGCTTGTCTCCCTGCCAGGAAAGGGGCAGGAGCAGGCGGCATGAGCCAGGCAGCCTCTGCTCACTCGGGCCCCTCACGCCTAAATCATCTTTACTCCTCAACTAGCTGGACCTCGACTACCAGGGTCCCCAGGACCAAGCCCTGGAGGGAGGAGGGCTGAGCCCCAGTGGCCTGGTGCCCGAGGCAGTGCCCTGCTGGGGCACAGAGGGCAGCAGCCTGGCTCGAGGGGCCCAGGTCCCAGGGGCAGGCAAGCCACCTGTGGCCACACTGAGGTATTCTCCAGACACTTGGCTTCCCAAATATGCAAGTAGCTTTTGCCTATTTTACTTTTTGTCCTTAATTACCTAGTATACTTTCTGGGGGGAAGGAAGGTGATAGAGAGAGAAAGTCCTCAGTCCTGGCTGAGCTAAAGGGACGGAGAGCCACGGGGCACAGGGCCCTGGGCCTGGGCAGGGTGGTGGACATGGGCACCTGCGTCAGAGCTGGGGTGGGTGGGGGCAGCTCCTGGGCCAGGAGGACAAAGACAACGGCTGTGGCAGATTGTCCCATCCTGCTACCTGGGCCTTCATGCTGGACCTGCTAGCCCTGCCTGGGGAGAGGGTAGACTGAGAGAGCACCTTGGAGGCTGTGCCCAATGTCACCTTCTCAAGGCAGGAAAGTCCCCAATTCCTTACACTCCTCTCAGTGGCCTCCGGGATTTTTCTAAACACTCCCCAGGCAGTTCCTGGTTCTGGGGGAGGGAGGGCAGGAGGAGGCTGGAGGCCCGGAGCCACCTTCCCCGCTGTCCCCCGGGGGTCCCCTTCTGATGTGCGGCTGCTCTGCTCACGGCCTGGCCCAGTCTCCGAGTGTACCTAAGATGGGCTCCTCACTGCGGAGAGGACAGAGACTCCCCTCAGGGGTCCTTGACCTGTTCAGGGCCTCAGTTTGGCCACCTGCACGGCACAGCGGTGAGAGCACAGTTCAGGGCAGAGAGTGGGCAGGGCCCAGTGGGGAGGAGGCCAGTGGGCGGCGTCTAGGTGCTCAGGAAGGACAATGCCCTCCTCCCTGAGGAGGGTCAGGAAGGGGCAGCTAGCCGGGGCTGCAAATTGTTTTCACCCAGCGGGGGTCTCTCCCATAGGCGAGGTGGGGCAGGCTGTGTATCGCGGGCTCTGTTCACTGCAGGAGGCCTGACCTTTGATGCTTTCTTTGCCATCTCTTCTCTCTTTATTTTCTTTAAACATTGCAGCGTGTTTGGATCCCCACTGGAGGAGTCTAGGACAAGGCTATACCCAGGGTGGGCTGAGGTTATCCTGGGGCTAAGGTAGGAGTGGGCAGTACAGCCACCAAGGCACACTGCACCGGGAGGGTGACTGTCACCTAGGGGCAGAGCTGCCCCTGGCCGGCCACCTGCCTTGTCCTTCCCATGCTGGACTTCAAGGTGAGGCAGCTCCTTAACCAGACTCTCCCCGGTGTGCTCGGCCACCTCGTGCCAGGCTCTGGCGGGCTCCAGGCTCTGGGATGAGCACGTGGGAGTGAGTCTGTGTCCTTCTCCTCTGTCCCCTTTCAGACGTCTCCCTGCCTGCTTGTATCTAGCTCCAGGATCTCTACCTCAGTGCTGGCCTTGCATGCCCCATGCCCCCATGGGTAGCCCCTCTCAGATTTGCCCCCAGTGGCCTGAGTCCTCCTACGGCACCACTGCAGCCATTTCCTACCTCCCCTTCAACTGTGCAAGTCCTGATACAGTGGGGTTGTCCTTGGCCACACGGAGGTAGGCATACCCTTTGGGGTGTCCTAGAGAGGGCAGAAGAATGTCCCGGGACATGCCATTTGTTTGCTCAGAAAGGCACGAACCCCGACATCTGGCAGACCCCACACAGTCTTCCCTCCACTCTCTGCACACCAGTCACCCGGAGCCCTGCTCCCAACCCCAGCCACGAGGCCGGTCCCCAGTGGGGCAGGAGGAGGAGGCAGGGAGTCGCTGCATCGCTGCGTGGGGAACAAGAGGGAAGGGGAAGTGGGGGCAGAGACAAGTGGGCCCTCACGTGAAGGGGGCTGGCGCAGGCAGCTACTACCTCCTCGGCTCTCGCTGTCCGCGGGCTTCACCTGGATTGGCCGGTTCATCTGCAACAGAGCAGAGGCGACAGCATTAGAACAGGCCTGGGGGAAGCAGGCAGACCCTGCACTCGGGGCACTGTGCACCAGGCCACGCCCACTCGCCATGCACACACGCAGATACCCGAGCACACGTCTGCACATGCAGAGCCCCGCCAAGCCCCCTCCACGCACAGCCCAGGGCCCCTGTCCTTTCAGGGGGTGTCTCTGAATTGGAGACCCTGGGGTGGCTCCTCCGCCCACTTTGAGCAGCTCTTGCTAGCCTGCGATATCAGAATCTGAGGTTCACAGAAATTCCTGCCCTGCCCCTCTGTGGCCCAAGAGGCCCAGTGTCCCCAAAGTGCACATTTGACTCAGCCCTGGTTCACGCAAGACATCTGGTCTCTGGCTGCAGACAGACCCCTGAAGGCCAGGGCATGGCAGTGAATGTCACCCTACCCCGTGCCGTCTCGCAGACGTGCCTTGTGGTTCAGCGGTGGCTGAGGCTTGGGCCACCCAGCTCCTCAGCTGGAGCAGAGCTCAGGGCTGGGGCTCCTGAGTGCAGCCAGGGCTGTCCCCTCAGGGTGTGCCTGGAGTGGGCACAGCTGCTCGCGTGGTGTCTGCGCATCAGGGGGACACGCGGGCAGGCCCTCTCTTGGGATCCGTGTCAATGGCCCGTTCAGGCCACTAGGGGTCTCTGCACTCCGAGCATCTGGGCTCTGAGGCTGGGCTTCAGCCCTCGCCCAGAGGTGCCAGTGGGTTCTCCAGCCCTGCGGTCCCACCGTATTTTAAACAATAAAACTGCTAGGCATCACGTGCATGGAAACGGACTGTGTGTCTCTGCCACGGCTTCTGCCTGGCACGTGCCGCCGTGGTCCCTTACTGCATTTGCATTTCCTTCGGGAGCTCAGGTCCCGGAGAGGCAGGTGGGGCGGTGCCAACACCCCCATTGCAGAGACAGTGAGGCCGAGGCAAGGAGAACCCTGTGAGCTTTCCGCGGCCAACTGCGGCAGGACCAGGCGGGGGCCCAGGTCTGCCTGAGCTATTTCTACACTTCTGTCCTGCGCCTGGAGACTTTTCCTTGCCAATTCCCTCCCGTACAGGGGCTGGCCAGCCGGTCACACGCTTCCTCCTGCTTTCCGGTCTAGGATTCGAAGTGAGCCTGGCTGCGTCAAGACAACTGGGTGGGGGAGTGTGGGTGCCCGTGACTCAGCAGGGCGAAGACGAGGCCAGAGGAAGGGCAGGGCAAGGAAGGACGGAGACGGGAGGCAGGACGGTGCGGCAGACAGGAAGGAGGCGCAGGCAGGACGCTGGGCCAGTGCACCGAGGGGCAGGTGCCATCGTTTGCCCCCAGGCCCCCACTTGACACCCTGATGGATGGAGGGAGAGAAATGTGCTTTGTGTGTGAGCTCTGGCAAACTCTAGTCGCAGGAGGAGGAGGAGGAGGCACCCAGTGACGTTCCTGGCTTGCCACGAGGCATCCGCTATGCGAGAGGGATCCAGGAGCCCCAGAGCTTTGGGACTCAGCATCCCACCCTTTCCGGGCTGCCCTTTGCTCCTGGAAGGTCCCGTCCTCCTGGCATCCCCCAAACCTGCAATATTCTCCTACCCTAGGAAGGTCTGATGGCTGGTGTTCTCGTGGACAGGTTTCTACAGCTTTTGTGCTTATATAATTTTACAATTCTCTGAGGTAGGGATTATTATCTCTGTCTTCTCGATGAGAAAACATGAGCTCGGAGGAGCGGCGGAGCTGGGATCCAGCGGGTGGGCAGGCACAGTCCTACCGCTGCAGTGGCTGTCGGGCTCTGCACACGTTATCTCGTGTGGCCTCGGCTGTTCGGGGAGGAGCGGGCCCAAGGAGGAAGTAGGTGAAGGTGTCTATCTGGTAAGGGAGTTTGGGGCCAGGTCCTTTGGGCCACCACTAGGAGTGCCACCTCCTCTGCCCGACCCCCCAAGTCTGGCCCCAGCACCTCTGGCACCTCTCCCAGCCCACATTCCAGCACCTTCCTCCCCTGAGCCCATCCCCTGGCCAGCAAGCTCCCCTGCCCACCCCCTGTGCCCCAGCCTTCTCCTCTCCACATTCTGTTCATTCTTCAAGGCCAGTCCATGGGGCCCCTGTAGTGGACTGAAGTATGCCCCCCAAACTCACATGGGGAAGCCCTAATCTCCCGCCATGTGACTATATTTGCGAATAGGGCCTTTAAGGAGGTACTTAAAGTTAAATGAAGTTATAAGGGTGGGACCTAACCCCACAAGACTGGTGTCCTTCTAAGAAGAGAAAGGCTCCCCAGGGATGTGCCCACAGAGAAAAGTCCACCACGTGAGGACACAGAGAGACAGGGGCCGTCTTCAAGCTGTGAAGAGAACCCTCACCAGAAAACAACCCTGCCCACACCTTGATCTTGGACTTCCAGCCTCCAGAACAGTGAGAAATACATTCTGGTCTTTTAAGCCACCCAGTCTGTGGTATTTGCTATGGCAACCCTAGCCAACAAATGAGCCACCTGGTCCATGAAACATGGCTGGTGTACCCCAGTGGGAAGGGCACCCCTTTTCCATGGAGGAGGTACACCCAAGACTGGGGGTGACTTGCAGGGGGGTGGTTCAGGCTGCTCAGGCCTCTCAAAGGATGCACAACACTTTTAGGAACACGAATGGCTGCTACATTCATTATTATATTGCTAGATTATCATAGCTTCTCTTATGATGTATGCAAATAGATTAACTTCAGTCAAGGAAATGGAGTTTCAGAGAGGTTAAGAAACTAGCTTGAGGTCACCTGGGGGTAAATGGTGACATCAAGATTAACGCAGGATTCCCGACACCTGCCTGTGCTTTCAGGACGACCTGGGAACCAGGCAGGGTGGGCTTGGGTGTGGTCCAGCAAGGTTCCAAGCAGGGGGTGAGGGGCTGGAAGAGCAGGGGCAGGCAGGGGGTTTAGTCTTCCCCAGCAGGGATGGAGGAGGGTCCGGCAGAGAAGGAGCAGCAGAGGGGCAGGAGCCAGACCACCTTCCTGGAACGTGTGTGGAGACACGGAAGGGAGGGAGGCCGTGTAGGAGGCTCCACTCCTGCGTCCTGACCATGCCCCGGCAAACCATCATCCTTAGGGCCTCATCCCATAAGGGGAAAGCCGGGACCGCAGGGAGAAGACTCCTTCCCCCTTCCTGGCATCTCATTTCTGGGTTCCACGGCTAGGCCTCTCCAGTGGGGCCTGAGAGCAGCTGAGGTGAGTCCTGCTGTTGCCAGGGTAGTGTAGAGCTATTCCTGATGTGACAGGTCCCCTTTTGCATGGCAAATTAAATGAGGCCAAAGGGAGTCTCTCTGTGCATGGAGCCTTCCACCCTAGTGGCATGCCACCCTCAGGCATCCCACTGTCCCCTGTCCTTGGCACCTGGGCTCCTGCAGTGCTCTGCCTGTGCTCCCTGACCACGCCAGCCCTGGACAGTGCCCGGACCCCTCCCCGGCTTGGTGCTGGGTTCGCTTGCGCACCGGCCCCTCCGCTTCTCTCCGCTTGCACTGCAGCCTCCTGACTCGTGACGGTGGGGATCTGGGACCTCCGCCAGCTCCCGCCTGCCCCCAGCCACAGCTGGGCACCCGAGGGGCCATCCAGACTCACTGGCGGAGCAGACCTGAATCGGCTCCAGTGCAGCTCTGGCTCCTGGGGTCATTTTTCATGTCCTATTACAATGTGAGGGTGGTCAGCGTCCAGACGGCCTTTGCGGGGCCTGTCAGAGAGGCGCTGGGCTAGATGGGGAGATAAAATACAGCCCTGCGCTTTCTTAATTCTCAGCAGAAATAAAGTGTCAGGCTCAGTCAGGAAGATTTCTCAGCTGTAGCAGGCCCTGTCCAGCCTGCTCCTGCCTGAAGGGAGACTGCCGTCCCTCCCCTGCTCCCGGCCCGGCCTTGCCACGCCCTGCTTCTGCTCTGGGGACCGTAGAGTGGACAGAGCAAGTCTGTCTGGGAGAGGAGGCCAGGACAGGATGCAGAGACGGGAGAGAGGACAAGGCAGCGCTTGGGGAAGGGGAGGGGGAGGAAGGGACAGCAGAGGGCTCTGGGGACGGGGAGGAGAGGATGGAGGACCCAGGCGAGGGGAGGCCCGGAGGACCAGGTGCCTTCTCCCTGCCCTTCTGCGACTTTGCTCCCTTGGGCCCTGGTCAGTCCCCTGAAGGCCTTTTCTTTCCCTGTCCCTGCCCCTCTGTCCAGCCCTTCTCTCAGCCAGTGTGCTAGTCCCCTAGGAGGGACTGGGGCCCGTGGCTGGTGGCAACCTGGCCTGGGGTGCAGGAGCTGCTCTGGCCGGTTCTCCTGAGATGTCATACGAGTCCCCGTGGAGACCCTGTGGCCTTCGGTCCAGATCCTCATCCAGGTGTCTTGTGGGGGTTAGTAGCCAGGGCTGCCTTCCCGGGTCAGACTGCTGGGTAAGTCCTCTGGGCTGTCACTAACCATGCGGACTGTGTTTCTGCTTCCAGCTTGGCCCCCCTCAGGCAAGCAAGTGGCCCCGGCCCATAGCCTGTGTCTGCTCTTTGCTCAGCGGAGGGTGGGCGGGCGGCCGCTCCTTCCCCGGCCCCTCCCGTTCGGGCTGTGCCGCCCTCCCCCCAGCCCGCTGCCATTTTTGCATCAACACATATCCATGCATTAAACAAGACATTCCATTAATTTCTTCATCATCATAACTTAAGCTGGGACATACCCTTTAAATATTCATTCAGCTATGAAAACTGGGCATTAAAATTTTAATAATGTCAAGCTCATTTGAACCAGGCTCCTTGGGGACGATTACGATACAATTAGAATAAATACGATGATTGAGCTGGTCGAAAGGCTTCACCTGTCCAGCGTGGCTCCCTGCGGGAGGAAGGGCTTGGAGCTGGTGGGCAGAGACAGACAGACTGACAGCCAGTCCAGGCTGGCTCTTCCCTGACTCCCTTCTCTCTACTTTGTGCTGCCAAGTCTACCCGCACAGGTCCCTGTCCCCCCCCTACACCTAGGACCAGGGTGCAGGGCGCCTCACTCGTCCAGGAAGATAACCCCAA